TAGTGCCATGAAAAGTGAGATGGACTCTTTGAGAGTGAACCAGACTTGGACCCTTGTACCTAGACCTCCCAACTGTTCCGTAGTTGAGTGTAAGTGGTTGTTTAAGGTTAAGGAAGAACCTAGTGATGTTAGGTTTAAGGCTAGGTTGGTTGCGAAGGGGTTTACTCAAAAAGAGGGGGTAGATTATGCAGAAATCTTTGCTCCTGTTGTTAAATTCACCACTATTCGTATGATGCTTGCTTTAGTTGCTCACCATGACTGGGAAATGAAACAGATGGATGTAACTACTGCATTTTTGCATGGTGAATTGGATAAAACAATTTATATGACCCAGCCTGAGGGCTTTGTGGATCCCAAGAGAAGTGAGCATGTCTGTTTGCTTAGGAAGACATTGTATGGCCTGAAGCAATCCCCTAGGCAGTGGAACATCAAATTTGATAAATGCATGATATCTTTGAAGTTCCAAAAATTTGTTTGTGATCATTGCCTGTATTTCAAAAATACTTCTTCTGTGCCTGTATTTTTGTTACTCTATGTGGATGACATGCTGATAATTAGTCCTTCTCTAAATGCTATTAAAGATGTGCAAAAATGTCTTTGTGCGAATTTTGCCATGAAAGACCTAGGTGATGCCAAGAGGATCCTAGGCATAAACATTGTTAGGGATAGGAGTAAGCGTACTCTTACTTTGAATCAGATTTCTTACATAGAAAAAGTTTTGAGTAAATTCAATATGTTATCTGCTTCTCCTGTTAATGTCCCTATGGCATCTCACTTTGTGTTAAGTAAGGACCAGTCTCCCAAGACTGCTCCTGAAATTGAGAAAATGAAATCTGTGCCCTATTCCAGCGCAATAGGGTCGGTGATGTATCTTATGGTCAGCACTAGACCTGATATTGCATATGCGGTTAGTTGCTTGAGTAGATATATGTCCAACCCTGGTTTGCCCCATTGGAATGCTCTTAAGTGGTTGCTTAGATATCTGATTTCTACTGTGAAGCATGGATTAATTTTCTCTAAGTGTGCTAGTGGTATTGAATTGATTGGTTATGTTGATTCTAACTATGCAAATGATAGAGATAACAGAAAGTCGACCACTTCTTATGTTTTTACTTTGTGTGGCTCTTGCATTAGTTGGAAGTCTCAACTACAGCCTATTGTGGCCCTTTCTACCACTGAGTCCGAGTATGTTGCAGCCACAGAAGCGTTTAAGGAAGCCATCTGGCTCAAACGCCTTGTCTCCGAAATTGGGTTTCTCAAAAAGGGAGTTACCATTTTCTCGGATAGCCAATCGGCTATCCAACTTTGCAAAAATCCTGTATTTCATGATAGAACTAAGCATATTGATGTTAGGTTCCATTTCATACGTGATATTGTTGATGCAGGTGGAGTCAAGCTGTGCAAGATCCCGTCGGAGTTTAACCCCGCAGATATGGGTACCAAGTGTCTTTCTGCTGAGAAGCACTTGTCCTGTAAACGCGTGTTAAATTTTGAATGTGGATAACTGTGGGTTGCCTAATAAAGTGTTTGCCCGTTGTGTCTTTTGATATTCCGGGTGACCCGGTGATGATGAGTCTCCTCACAACCTGTTTTGCTACTCTACACCACTTAGGACCAATAAGGTGGAGAATGTTGGAGGTATTGGTCCTACCAAGGCCTCCCTTCCACTTTATTATTTAGGCTTGCACCCCATGTTTACTCCCACTTTGATTCCCTGAGTTGAAATCACTCATTGGTAGCCTGTTGACTTACCTGGAATCTGCCCCATCTTCTGTCCGCTGCTCCCTTTGATTGTCTTGGCTTATACCCGTGAATGTCCTTCACACCCGTGAGTGTCCTTGTTTTTCCTACCCGTGACTTCTCAATAGGCAGGCAGCCTATTATAAAGTCAACACTCCTCCTCTTTGTGAGATAAGCCTGTGAGAGAACATCCCAGTGCAGTGTCTTCCTTCTTCCTTTCCCTTTGTGTGAGAGTTCCTTAGTGGAGTGAAGAAGAGTGAGTAAACATGGGAGATGGAGTGGCCTAAGCCCTAGAATGGTGTGTGTGAGTTTAGTTTAGAAGGTTGGAGACCTGAGCCGGAGACGGAAACGGTCCTAACACTTCATACCGTTCTCAGTTTGTCTAAGGACCTTGCTAACTCATTCACTCCTCCTTGCCACATCATTGTGACAGCTCATTGCCATTTGCGGTGTCATAGCCTTCTCACAGCCACATAACCTAGCTTGATTGACTCGTATTTCTCTAAAATGTTTGTTTCTTATTCCCACGCACATAACCCCTCTCCACCATCAGCCGCGGACTACCAATGCCATCGCCACCATAGGAGGCAATGTTTTCAAAAACTATAAGGAAAAAATACGAGAAAAAGATTGTTCGAACTAGCTCATTATCTAAGTTATGGGACTAAATTGATAAAATTATACTCCGTGCTTAACAAAGTTATAAGTCAATATGCTTTAAGTATTGTGACTGAACCAAACATGGTCTAAATTAAGTTTTCGATGAAATGTGGTTTTGGAGTTCAATAGCTCATACACATGTCATATATGACGTGTCATATATGTCACTAATATATAAAAAATGAATGGGAATTTCAACAACAAAGGAAAATTTAGAAGCACTTATTTAAATTATGGGACTAAATTGGGGAAGTTAAATTTGATGGGACTAAAACGACTTGGCCTAAGTTATGGGAAAACAATTCTACTTCTTTAATTTATAGATAGTATAATGAAGTAGAATTATTTTTCCCGTGACCTACACCAAGCCAAATAGAAGAGCTCATTTAAAAGCGCGCATGCGTTACGTTCTGGTAGGTAACCAATTATCAAATCCTATCATACTGAAAATCAATAACGACACACGAAGGATTAAAATACCACACATTAATGATCATACATAGAAACATATACTATGTCTTAGCATGCGCCACTATCGATTCACAGATCGTCTATTATCATAAGTAAAAAAAAGGAAAATTATCGAAGTAGTAGTAAAAACATTTTGAAATTTCAAAATAAGAGTATTGTGTCTTTGTTCCCCAAATATGAGCATTCAGTGTCAGAACAGAAAAAAAATTCTATATTTAAACTCTGATAATGTCAAAATATGACAATAATTACTCATATTGATGCAATAAAAATATATACTAAGTAGTAATCTTATTTTGGAATTTAATTACAAATGTTTTTACTTCCTATATATGGCAGTTTCTTAAGAAATAAGAGTAAACTAGAATGTATAACTAGTGTCTTTTACATTTTACAATCAAACTAAATGATGAATCAATGGCCCCGTACTTTATGTGAATTAATGTATTTATATTTAAGTGGTGTGTGAAAGACTAAAAAGGTGGAGCTAATGTTTTGCCTCTACCATTCATAGCTTGGTTTCCGGTCAAACACGTATCGTTGAGCGATGGGATCCAAAACTTAAAACAATACTTCCTCCCTCCGTTCTTTTTTAGTTGCAACGGTCAACATTTCACACTTGCCAACGCACATCTTTGACCGTAATTATACCTTAATCCCCATTAGTAAAAAATATTTAAAAATTAGATTTCGAAAATTTGTAATGAGATGAATTGAACAATATAATTTTAAAAAAATAATTTTCATAAAATAATAATATAAAATATAATCAAAGTAGAACATGTGAATAGTGTAAAATTCAACATGTTGTGATTAAAAAGAGACGGAGGATAGTATTTGCTTTGAAATGATGGCTAGACAATAACTTTAATTGCCCTACTGCCTTTCTCATTAATTACATGCAGTTAAATAACACAAGTCTGCAGGTTAAAAGTGCAAATTAAATGACTCGAACTTTATATCCTTATCGTGAATGCATTTTTCGCGTAGCTAGGTACTAGATACCTAATAGAAAGTGCAAAAGCGAAGATGGGGCACTACAAATTGGCAAATTGTCAAAAAGTGAAATATGCAAAGTCATATACCAAAAGACTTTCCGTCTAATAAAGTTACGCCAAATTACTGGCCACTGATGTTTTGTGATATATTTTATTTTATTCTGTCGAGACCAAACCAAAAAAGAACAAGAGAAAACGAGTTTAACGCGTGCATATCTATCATTTTTAGATATCAAAGAGTCAAATGGCAATCGAGGAAAAATATGCGGACTCATGCACCAAAAGAGAATCTACTTTTGTATTTTTTTCGATATTAATTTCTATTTATTCATATATATATATAGAAATAAAAATTTGTGATTTTAGGAGAATATGTCTCATCAAGTTGATATCCTTGGGTTCGAAATTACCCTTTATCGCACTATTTGGATTTTCATAGGTATTCAGGCATGAGGATACATTTCTGCTTCTCCTCTTATATATTGAGGAATGATCTAATTCTTGTTTAATTTAATTTCTACACGAATTATACTTTTATAGATTATTAAAAGCAATAATTATGTAAAAACTATAACATATACTCCGTAATAATTAACTTGATCAAAAGCATGTTATTTCTTCCCGTTTTCCCTTTTTGTCTGTTATTAAACTTTCTTCTTCGCTTTTTCCTTTAAGAAAAGAAAGTGCGTGATTAGGTTTGTGCTTTTTAATTAAAGCTCTATCACATACTATACCTTTATTCTATTAGAAAGCGTCTCCTAATTAATAAAGGATCACAGCAACAATCCACTTAAATAAAAGTATAAAATGGGATCGATGAAAGTGGCAAATTAAAATATTACAAAAAGTTACTCCTATTTGATTTAATTTCATAAGATTTTGTGTAAGACTAACTAACATTTGAGCTTCATTCTTTTATTAGTTTGATTTTAATTTCCTCATGCACATTATTATACAATTTATAGATGCAAATCAAAAAAAAAGTTTTTGTATGGATTTCTCACAAATCGATAGACATTTTCGGCACACCGGAGTCAAATATTTCGTAACTAAACGACAAACAAATTTTATTACGAAATTGACAGAGTTGTGACGTTTTTTGTCACAAAAAATATGATATGGAGTACAAAGTATTGACAAAATGCGTGTCAATTCAAGACAAATATGTACCAATGTCATTGTTTTTTGTAATACACAGAATTAACTTCATTTCAAAGAAACTACAATATACTCCTGTATATGGCAATCTACAGATTCTCACATTACATTCTTGATTGAATTGTTTATCTTAGCAGCAGAGAATAAAGTACATGCAATGGACCATATCCTTAGAAACAAAATTGAAACACTACGATTACAAATACGGCCATATATTTATTTTTTGTGAAATTTGCGAAGAAGCGGTCATGCTCAGCTGGTAGTCAACTCAGTCACCCTTATGAGAAGTCTCGGGTTCAATACTCAATGGAGTGGCTTTAATTTGATCTCAGTTTACCTCGGGCCCCTAGCCTCCTCCCCCGACCCCTTGGGGTCACAAAAAAAACAAAAATAGGTGAAATTTTCCTTTATTTTATACAAAGTATTGTTTTTTTAACTTTACCTCTAAACTTTAATGTATATAGATATTATTACAACTAATAACAGTGGAGTAAAATTTAATGAGCTACAGTAGAAATGGGGGAATTAACAAGGATGGGCTATTAATGAGTAGCGGAGATCTTGCTTCTCTTCCCGGAGAGAAGATGGAAGCCGCCTTGCTCCGCTGTGCGCCACTCGTCCACCGTCATCGTCGTCGTCCCATCGAAATCAATATGGCGAAGAAGCCCGGAGGCATCATACAAGCAGGCCTCCGACAACCCATTAATCACAGGACACGGGGGTTTGTTTTTCCGGCGACCGGCCCCGACGGGGACGTTCCGGAGAGCTCCACCGGCGGTCCAGTACCTCTGGCAACCTTTGCAGAAGTGCCTGGGCTGGTTAACGTTGTAGTTGTTGAAGTAACAGAACTTGGTCTCCATGCTGTTGCATCTAGGGCAGGGAATCACCTTGTCGGGCCTCTTGTGTTGTTCTACTGCAAGTCTTTTAGCTTCATCATCTTTGCCGTTTGGTTTCTTCTCTTCATCAACTGTAATTATTGTTGCTCCAAAGAGCTTGATGCCCTGTTTCATGTGTGTGTCTTGAACCTCAGCCATTTTGTGAGAGGAAAAAGTTTCAGGGTAGCTAGAACGAGGATAAATTTTTATGTTTATGATGTGAAGGTCTTATTAATATAGTCGGTAATTCGGTATAATATATTCATACGATAGTACTCATCCGATAATAGATCACATACTAACCATGCTTAAAATACTAACTTACTAACTCAATAATATGCAACACATTGAACTTCAATATGCAGTACAAATAATGTAAAGATGCACACTGTGAATTTCAATATGCAATAAAAACAATATGCAAAACTTTGAACTTTAATATGCAGTACAAATAATATGCAACACTTTGAACTTCAATATGCAGTACAAATAATGTAAAGATGCACCGTTTTTGATAGTTTGTAGGTTAGCATGAGAGGAATGGTTAGTATCTGATCTCACCCCGTGCTCATCGTATTATATATAAGTAGAGAATTCCCTAAATAGGAGTAAGAACGTTTTGAAATTTCAAAATAGGACTCATGTTTTTTATTCCCTGAATAAGAGTAAATTTCTGTCAAGTTTAGCATTATTAGGCTTTAAACATGGCATTTTTTTCCAAACTTGTCAGATTACTCATATTCAGGGAATTAAAAACATGATAGTCCTATTTTGGAATTTCAAAACGTTTTTACAATAGGGCAATTTCTGTATTATATACTCCCTCTGTCCCTAAATGTTTGTCCTATTTTCCCGAAATTGATGTCCCAAAATGTTTGTCCTACTTTTTTACTTCCTTATTTGGCAAACAAGTCTTTATCAAACAATGTCAAACAGTGCAAAACAGTGTCAAACAGTGTCGCTACAGTGTCAAACAATGTCGCTACAGTGTAAAGTCAAATTGATTTTAGAATGAGGGTGAGAGGAAAATATATTGATGACTTTATCATGAATGATGTCGCCATATTTAAAATGTACGATCGTTTTACTTTAAATATTTGTCTTCTTTGACTTTTTAAGTCAACCGTGCCAAATATTTTGATTAGTATAAATTTATCAAAGTTAAAAAATTTACACTTTTTATGAAACTATTTTTGATAAAGAACACCTTCATGTAGTAGTACTTTTTATATTATACTAAGTACGTTATTGTAGGTAATTTTCTAAAAAATATCATTGAATTGGTCAAGTTATAATTTGGTTGACCAATTTTTTTTTAATATGACAAAATATGAGAGACAAACAGACTATAAATTCTTCAAAAATAAACTTTTTTCTGATATCATAATAGTTCTGAAGTTTTAGTCCTGTAAATTTGACTTGATAAATTAGAAAAATTGACACTTTTAATCCCAAGCGTGAGTGATCTCCTTGAAACGATCCCAATCATCAATTGTCAAGCTAAAAATACTTCAGTAATTTATAATAACTCGTAGATTGTTTATAATATTTACCACCCAGTAGAGCATTTTGAGATTTTTTTTCAATAATTGGGATTATCTTGAGAAAATCGATACTTTGAATTATTTGAAGTTGAGATTATTCTTGTCCATTTTTCCTCAAAACCGTCTATACTAGGGAGGCAACTAGGCCTATGCATGTCTAGGGCACAATTATCATGTGGGGTGCTAATTTTTATAAACAAACAAAAGTTATATATATATATATATATATATATATATATATATATATATATATATATGTATATATGCGTGTGTGTGTACACATACATATAATTGTGTTTTTGATTCTTAAATTATTTAATAAAACGGTAATAATATTAATTTATTCATTATAAAATATTCATAATTTTATAATCGAACTGATTATAATTGAGTACAACATACTACGTTATGTATATATACATTTGTGTTTTAGATTCTTAACTTATTTAATAAAACTGTAATCTTAATTTATTCATTATAAAATGTCCATAATTTTTTAATCGAACTGATTATAATTGAGTACTAGATACTACGTTATTATTATTTTTATCTATATTTTTTTAAAATTTGTTGAGGTTTAGTCCCGTAGATCCAAAAGCCCAACACACGCTTAGGATATTCAGGGACGTGGGTCTCGGTTGAAGGGTAAAGAAAAATATAAAATAGTGAGAAATGAAGAACCCAAGAGCTTAAACTTGCATTAATAGTGCCACTATGAGCAACGACCCGAACGGCCTATCGGAGTAGTGATTAATACAAGGAATAAAGATAACAACTCTCTCTCAAAGCTCTCAGTATTTAAATGTTAACCCTTTCCAATGTATTAAAAGCTGCTATTTATAGCAAGGGGGTAGATGAGAAGAACACGTGGCCAATCCCAGTTGGCTGTTGCCTTTACCGCCATGTTCCCACTTGTTCCCGCCATATTCCAACATTAAATGTGGTTGCCACTTGTTGATATCGCGTCCGTGCACCCCGTTCGGGGTGTGGGACTTTCTGCTGATAGAAGTTGTTAATGAATCACCCCAAGTAGATGAGATGTGCCGAATGCCGTACGGGAATCTTGTATCGCTTTGGGCCGAATGTTTCCTCTGGGCCTTTTCATATCATGGATCGGGTATATTGGGCCTGAACCTAATATCCCAACAAAATTATTTTGATAAAAATATCTTCATTCAATAGCATCACTAATTAATTAGATAAGTGGTCTAGTTATGTTGTTAATATAAAAATGTTTTATTAACCTTTGGTTGTGGTAAAATTGACAAATTTGACACTTCATAAGGTAAGAAGAATAGATTATTAAAAGTAGTATTTTAATTTTTGTTCTACAAAAACAGAAATGCTTCAAAATTTACATGATTTATTAGTGATTGTTTTAATTTATTTATTTGATAGAATTTTCGTTTTATTATTTTTAATCAACTACATATTCTCTATATATAATTATTGTATAGAATATTACTAACTAATACAGAATATAAAGATATAATTTGTAATCGGTTTTTGTTTGGGTCACCAAACATATTAAAGACGGCTTTGTTTGTCCTAATACATTTAAGCCATACCGTTTAAGTTAGGAGGTTTCCCTAAATAAGGCTAAATAAAAACAAAATTGCAATAATAAGACTTCAAAGTTTAAATTCTCAAAATAGGACTAAATCTTCATATTCGACCCTTTCCATTGTCCTTCTTAATAGGGTTTTTAATAGAGTTTTTTACGAGAATATTACTAAAATAAAACTTATTTACATAAATATGACTATTCATTACTACAACGTAGTGCTGTGGTAACTAAAGTTCAAAACTTGAACATAAATTACTATGATTTCATTACTACTCTAGTAATGAATCATACTTTTGTAAACCATCTTTATTTTGGTCATATTTATGTAATTATTTCTTTTAATAATAATTATAAAACATAAAAAAACACATAATACACACACATGTGTGTGTGTCTCAACCAACATCGTAGCCACCTTCCAAAGCTGGTTTGGGCCGGGCTTTTCATAAGTTTTCTGCCCATCATGTGTGGGCGGGCCCGGCCCGGCCCGCAAAAACGGGCCTAACCCCATGTCCATACCCGGGCCGCCGGGCCCGGGAAAACTTTAAAATTTTTAAAATTATACTCCGGAGTATAATATATTTAATACTTTATAAATAAAATTACAACATTTAAAAAAATTGCTAATACGCTTAGAATGTATATAGGCCTTTCATCACATACACAAAAAATATTTACACAAAAATAATAATGAGAAACTATATCTAAAATTTAAAATTCATGCACAAAGTATTATCTTTAAGTACAAAAATAGGTATTGTATTGGTTGGACTATTTGTTAAGAACTAAAAACTTAAATTTAAACATAGTAAACTATAAATATGTATAAAGATAAATTAGTAAATATAAAAATATACATGTGTACATGTAAATAAATACATAAATTAGCATATATATATATATATATATATATATATATATATATATGTATATATATATATACACTAAATGTAGCGGGCCGGGCTTATCGGCCCGAACGGGCCTACACCCTAACCCAAGCCCGCCCATATGTTGTTGTGGGCCGGGCCCGGGCCGGGCCGGTGGATAAATTTATATGCCCAAGCCCGCTAATTTGTGCGGGCGGGCTGGGCGGGCCGGGCGGACTGGCCCGATTTTGTACAAGTCTAATCAAAACTATGTCGTTTTGGGGGTGGAGCATGGTGCTCACCGTGGGACGATCCCACGGAATACGAACTCCTTATTCACTCCTATTTTTGTAAACTTTAATCCAATTATTTTTATTAGGACTAAATAATATCTACATGACAAAACTATTTTGTCATATTTTTAATCATATACAAGTAATTATTCATGAGGAATGATCGTGTCAAAATTACTTGACAGGACGGATCCGCCATCCGGATCTCTATGTTTGAGGTGCTTCAAAATTGTGTTTTTAGATGAAATTTTGTGATAATGTTGTTCATGATGCGTAAATTATTTACATCAAATGTCAGATTAAAATGTAATCGAGAAGTCAATTAAATAAATTATTAAAAACCAATGCGTTAAAATATATATAAAACATCGCAGTATTTTTCCGTAATTTATTTAATTGACTTTCCAATTAAATTCTAAGTTAAAATTTGGTGCAAATAATCTACTCTTCTTGAAAAATGCTAACAAAAGTTCATCAAAATATTTGCATCTCAAGTTAAGGCTTCTATGAGATAATTTTGACCCAAACTTTTCGGATAGTATTGAAAAATATAAAAGTTGGGGGCCAAGCCCCCCTACACTTCTATGTACCTCCGACCCTGCTGTACATAGTAGGGTTGATGCTATTCCATTTTCTCAAATGTAATTTCTGGAAACTGAAGTGAAAAATCATTTTATAACTTTTAGGTTTGTTCATTGTGAAACTAATTTCAGGGCATCCGGCGTTTTTCATCAACAAAATAATACGGAGTATGATGCAACATGGATGTTTTTACTTGGGTTGTAATTTGTTGGTCTGGTCTGGTCTATCTAAGTCTGGTTTGGTCTGAACTGGTCTGTTCTGGTCTAGTAAACGTCCGGTCTCTTTGTATTTTATTATTAAGAAATTAATGTCTGATTTGGTCTGGTCTGGTCTGTTTAAGTTCTGTCAGGTCTGATCTGTTTACATCCGATCTATTCTGATTTGTGACTAAAAACAATCCAAGTAAAACATTC